GTCCAGCACCTTAACCACCACACCACCTGCTGGCCCACCACCACTTACTTTGTTCTTGATATTTGAGGGAATGTACTCAGTAGTTGACCATTAAGTATAAGGTTAACTAGATGTTTTGGTAGTTTTTTATTTATTTATTTTTTACCAAATTGAAGAAGTTCCCTTATATTTTTATTTTTCTGAGAATTTTTATCATAAGTGAGTGTTGACTTTTAATGCTTTTTCTGCATCAATTGATGTGATCACATGATTTTTCTTTTAGGAAAAAAGAAATGGTGAGTTACATTCATTTTCAAACTTCTTTTTCTTTTCCTTTTTTTTTTAAAGAGAGATTTTTTTTGCTATAGAGTATGTGCGTGCCACAGAGACTGAGACAGAAAGCCAGAAATCACTCCCCCTGGCGGGGGAGAGGCCATACCGTAATCCCTTTTCTTCCATTCTCCTCTTGGGACTTTGGATGTGCACACACGTGCCCAGTGTCAGTTTTAAGTTGTCACATCTGGGACTTGAACCATGATCAACTATGTAGGAGTCCAGTGATATAACTATTTTGCTATCTGCTGGTCCTGATTTTCAAATTTCAAATCAAACTTGCATCCCTGGAGCAAACCTGATTTGATCATGATGTATATCACTTGTGTATATATTGTCTTTATATATTGCTGAATTATATTTGCTAGTATTGTCTTAAAAATTTCACATCTAGGGTCAACCAGGTGGCATGGTGATTAAGGTGGCTGGATCCCACATGGCCTACTGTGTGGTTTGAGTCCTGGACCCAGTGTCTTGAAAAAAACACTGGGTGTATGGTGTGCATGCCCAAAATCCTAGGATGGGGGAGTGTTTTCTCACGTTCTCCCTTTCTCTCTGTTTCCTTGTCTCTCACTTTCTCCCTTTCTCAGTCTGTTTCCTTGTCTCTATCTCGTGAGCGCATACACCCTCTAGCAAATTTAAGGAACAAGACTTTTGTAGCTATATTCACAAAGGATATTGGTCTGTGGCTTTCTTGTTTGTATACCATTTTTGTTTGGTTTTGATATCAGTAATAGTAGCTTCATAAAATGAAATCTGAATTACCCTTTTTCTTCTGTTTTCTGGAACAGATTGGTTGATTCCATCTTAATTCTTTAAATGTATGGTAGATTTCTCTAGTGAAATTGTCTAGGTCTGACAGTTTCTCTTTTGAGAATTTTGAAATTACAAATTCAATTTTCTTAATAGTTACAGAGCTATTTAAATGACTTTGAATGCATTTTGGTAGTTTGCATTTTATGGCGTTGGTTCATTTTTTCTAAGTTGTGATATTTATATGTGTAGAAGCTTTTGTATTATTCTATTAATGCTTGTAGGGTGTGTAGTAATAATCTCTATTTTATTCTTGATTTTGGTAGTTTGTGTCTTCTCTCCTTTAAGAACCAGCTCTTTATTTCATTGATTATTTTTCCTATTCTGTTTTCGATTTGATTTAGTGCTATTCTTGTGTTTATTATTTCATTCTTTCATGTGAGAACTTAGATGATTAATTTGAGACTTCCCTCTTTTTGTTTTTCATGATAGCACATGCGAGAGAGAAAGACAGAGAGACAGTCACCCTTGATGAGCTTTCATCATACTGTGATCCCCTTCCCCTAGCCATCCATCTTGTTAAGATCTTGGACACTCATGTACTCAGCATGTGTCAGATCGACTGGGCCCAGGATCATAAGCTGCAGTTGGCTAAGTGGCGTTCAAAAGTATAGTTCAGAATGCTACTGCCTGTGCCACTGACGCTGGAGTTCTCCCTTTCCTAATGTATGAGTTTAGTATTATAAATTTCTCTCTCAGCATTGCTTTAGCTGTCTTCCACACATTTTGATATGCTGTATTTTCATTCTTTGACCCATGCAGGATTTAGAAGTATGTTGTTTAGTTTTCCAGTATTTTTAGTTTTATAATTACCTTTCTGTTGTTGATGTCTAGTTTGATTTTGTTTGGTCATAGAATGCTCTATATGATTTCAATTCTTTTAAATTTATTGAAGTTTGTTTGATGGGCCAAGATACAATATATTTTGGTGTACGTTCTATGGTTATATGAAAAGAATGCGTATTTTGCTATGAATGTGTATTTTAGTAGGTGGAATGTTTTCCAGAAATGTCAACTAGATCAGGTTAGTTGATGTACTTATGTGATACCACCCTGGTGGGGGTTTGGGGACACCTGGTTATAGCCTCAAGAGGTTACAGCCTTGAGAGGACGGAAGTCTAGGTTCCCCTCTGAACCTTTACTGGCTTGGGTGGGGGTGGGATTGCTGTTTCTTTTCTTTTTCTGTGAAATTTGTCTAACATAGAGGTATTACTATATTAACATTTTCCAACGTTCTAGGTTGCCTGGCCTTTTAGCTAGACAGAGCAATTGTTTGGGGGCTTATCTTTTTATTTTTTGCCTTTATCTGTTTGTATTTCTGGATTGCTATCAATAGCTTCTACAACTCCAATTTTGGGGATTACGAGGCAGAAAGAAAACCAAGGAAATTTACCACTGTCTTGGTGTTATTCTTTGTATCTTGAAGTTCCTAGATGGTTTTCCTTTTTCTTATTAGTCTTATGTTTGTTCTATGTATAATTTCTGTGGCTTGTGGTTAATAAATAATAGGATGAGTAGTAATTTCTGTGGCTTGTGGTTAAGAAATAATAGGATGAGTAGGGCCATCTGCTCTATCATCCTAGTAACGGCAATCTCTTCAATTCCTTTCTTTCTAAATTTTTTTAAAAGTTTTTTTTTTTTTTTTTTGCTATGGGGTGCATGTACTTTCCAGAGAGACAGAGAAGGAATGTGAAAAACATCTCCCAGGGGGGATGCCATTCTGCAATCCCTTCTCCATTCTCATGGGATTTTGGGGGGGGGGAACCCACACACATATGCATCTTGCTTGAATTTAAGCCACTAAATCTAGGACTTGAACTGCAGTTGGTCATATGGGAGTCCAGCACCTTAGCCATTACTCCACCTGCTGGCCCCTCCTCAATTCCCTTTTAATTGCCAAATATATTCACCTTTGTAATAGTTTGAATATGAATGTATCATTTACTTGGTGGTTGCTGGCTTAAATTGTTCTCCTTTTTAAATAACTTTTTTGTTGTATGTTTTTTTAAAGAGAGGTTTTTGCTATAGGGTGCGTGCATTTGCCAGAGAGACAGAGAGACAGAAAGAGAGAAATCATCCCCCCAGGGGGGGAAGGTCATGCCGCATTCCCCTCTCCTCCATTCTCCTCTTGGGATCCTGAGCACACACGCACATGCACCTGGCATGAGCTCAAGCCACCGGGTCCGAGACTTGAACCGCGGTTGTACCTGGGAGTCCAGTGACAAAGCCATTACACCAACTGCTGGTCTCTGTATGTTTCCTTTCTGAGTACTAATCAGTCCCAACCCTGCCGAATATCTTCTGAGATCAGATAAGATTATGTGCATTCATGGTTCTGTGGCCAGTGTGTGTGTGTATTTTTTTTTTTTTTTTAGGTATTGTCTGAGACTCCATTTTTTTTTTTTTTTGAGAGAGAGAGAGACTTTTGCTATAGGGCACGTGTGCTTGCCAGAGAGAGACAGAGAGACAGAAAGTGAAAAGTCATTCTCCCAGGGGGGATGCCATGCTGCAGTCCCTTTTTCTCCATTCTCTTTTCAGGATCTTGGGCTTGCATGCACATGTGCCTGACATGAGTTTTAAGCCACCAGGTCTGGGACTCAAACCACGGTTGACTACCTGGGAGTCCAGCAATGTAATTATTATGCCATCTGCTGGTCCTGTGTATTTTAATATACTCACCTCTGCATCTTTTTTGCACATCACCCAACATGGGAAATCTGTTAGCTGAAGGCCCAGTGAGCAGATTTGTTTTTTTAAACTTCTGTACAGTAGAGAGGTTGATATGTATGTGGGTCCCAGCCATATGCAAAGGCATAATAGTAAATGTTTTCCCATGGTGCACTGCTGCTAGGAAACAGCTCAGTCAGTAAGTGATAGGTGAGTCATGGATGATTATAGCTACTCTTCTTTATCTATGATACTGTGTATTAAATTATTCCCAAGTGGTTTCTTAAGTAACTACAGAGGTTCAAGTAAATTATGTTTGCTTCCCAAAGTGCCTAGACTAGTATAAATCATTCCTTGTTACTCTTATTTTTGTTGTTGTTTTTGGTGTCATGTGATACCACGGGACAATGTCAGAAAACTGAACTGTGTGTGAATCTTTCTACTTACTCTGTATAAATGACGTTTGAATTAGATGCTAATTGTAACACACATTTAGTAGTGGAGGCCATTGTTTAACTCATAGAAGTGATTTTTTAGTTAGGTTGGGATGTTTTAAAACTGGCATGTTTTTATAATGTAACATCTTGTTTCTATCCTCAAATTACAATATTTCAGGCTGACAGGTGGCATAATGTTTAAGGGTGCTGAACTCCCACATACGGACATGGTTCAAGTCCCAGACCTGGCAACTTGCTTTCTCACTTTCCCTCTCTCTCTCTCTCATGTGCGTGCACTCTCGCTCTATCCTTCTCTAGTCAAATTAAAAATAAAGTTAAATAAAATAATTCTTTTTACAAATGACAATATTTTATAGACTTAACTACTATCCTCCATATAATTGAGTATCTCTGAGAAAATGATCATTTTGAAAAGGTTTATCTTTCAAAAATATTGTTAAATAACCCCTTTTTTCCCCCAAAGCTAACTGGCCCAGAATAAGAGAGAGTGAAACAGGATTCAGTGTTGACACTGCTGGACTGTGTGTGTGTGTATGTATGGTTTTCGAAAGTGATAAATGATCGACAACTTGCTGGAAATGGAACAAATGGAAATGTTAATTAAAAATACCTAATAAAACTTATCTGTGAAATACTTGTCTTTGAACTTTACATTGGTACTGTGTTGAAGGCTAAGAAGTGATTGTAGTAAATCTTTCCTAGTTCTGCCTTTTAAAATCTGATTGTCATTGCCTCAAATTTCCATACCAGGGTGCTGGTATAGAAATCTATCCTGGGAGTAAGTGTACCCTAAGTGACAATGGAATCCATCACTGCAAAGAAGGGATCCTCATTAAGGTGAGCATCAGCCAAAACATCCTCTTTCCAAAGGTTAAAATGGTTTCACCTAAGAAATTATGTTTTATTGAATTCCCATGTTGGGTTCTGTTTTCTGGTTTGAAAAGTGTAAATTGTATATAAATTTTAATAATATCAGTAGCTGGTGATTGAAAGTCTCTTGTGAGAGTGTTTTGCTGCCTATAGATCTGCAAAAATGACAGGAATGCTGTGTCACTCAGAGCTCAGACTGCTACAACCTATTCCTAAGCATGGCTTTTCTATTTTATTATTAGAATAGCATGAAAAAAGTCAGAAGGTTTTTAAAGCAGGCAGTTAGCTGAATGTGACAGTTTCAAAACATTTGTTTTCAATGTCGTAGGATTTCTTAGATGAACATTATGACATTCCCAAAATATCCATGGTGAATAACATCATACATAATAATGAAGGTTATGGTGTAGTCTTGGTGAAACCCACAATTTTCTCTGACCTGCAGGAAAAACCCCAAGATGGAACAGAAGGTATGCTTTATTTTGTAATATTTTAATTGAAAAGCCAGACTTAAATTTCGATTAAGGATCTGAGTTTTCTTCTTAAAAAAGTTGCCAGAGCATGTTTGGGCATAGAGAAGCCTATGGTAAAGCTTAACACAGTCTCAGGGCGAAAGAAACTTTGAAGGTCAACTAGTCCAACTCTTCATTCAAATTCTTGATGTAGTTTCTGTGGCCTGCAGTTCCCTTCTTATTATGCTTGGTTTTCTATAAATGTATAAAAGAAGGATGGATATATATGATAGCAGTGGTGATTCCTGTTGGCATTTAAGGAAGGAGGCAGTGAGATGAATGTGCCGGGTTGAAGACTGCATTTACTGGAGGGGATAATGGAGTTTGCCTCCATTTTTTATTGGTGCAAGTAAATGCCTCCCTGTCGTTTGCTTTTCTTGGCATCAAAGGTGAGCTAACTCTGGAAATTCAAGCCATTATACAGATCACTATTAAATCTTGGTCATAGAAAAAGATTAAGTATTAATATGGGTAAGGAAAGTGTAAAGCATTTTAAAGAGCAGCCTTTGTCATCTTTCACAACCTGCTCCAATTATATCTCTGTGAGTTCTCTTCACAGGTCTTACAAAGGCGAACTCTAAGTGTCAGCTGGGCAGTACCCTTATCTGAAATATCCGCTTCTAAGCCCATTCATGCCATTCACTGTCAGAATCTGTTCCTTTAGGTTGTAGGACTGAAGTCTGTTTTCTTGATGGCTACTGTAGTTCAGCTCCTAAAGGCCACTCTCTAATCCTTTCCTCACTGCCTCCTCCATCTCAGCATCAGAAAACCTCCCTCAAGGGAAATCTCTCACGCTTTGGATCTCTCTGACTTCATATTCTGCAAGCAGCTGGAGAAAACTGATTAGTAACCTTAATTACCTTGCAAAATTACAATGTACAATAATTTTGCTATTTAACAATCATGAAAGTAACACCAAGGAGTGGTGGTCATGAGGCTCATCTAGAATTAGCTGCTCTATTAGAACTTCATGTAAGAAAAGTAGCACTCTTGTATTTATCTTTACTTCCTAGCTTCTAACACAGTGCTCAGCATGTACTAAATACCCAGGAAATGTCTGGGTTGCATAGGATTCTAGGTTATAGAGGGTAAACACAAAGTTCAAAATTGTTGATCCTGAACAAGGGTTAGGAGGCCTAGGCATGAAGAACAAGAGTGCTGTTTGCAGAATCTTATGCAAAATAATTTATAAAACCCAGTGAGATTTCTGCAGTGATCCTTGGCAGAAAGCACTCAAGCTTCAACAAATTGTGCAGAAATATATATGCAGGGGTCTTCAAAAAGATCATGGAAAATGCATATTATGACAAAATATGTATGGATTTCAAAGTTTTTGTTGGCATGAAAATAAACTCATACTTTAATTCTATTTTTCTACACACTTGTTGAAGTATTCTTTTATGTTTTAATTGGGTTAACTTTCTATATTTATTTGTTACTTTTTGTTATAATTTGTTTTGTTTCTCCAGAAAATAAAGCACTTAAAATTCAGACAAGTGAAGAGGCAGATGCAGCTGAAAGAGGGGATCTAGAAGAGCTGATTCAATGTGCAACTGGTAAACTGGAGCTGTATGCGAAATCTGAGCTTTCTGAGCAGGTCGAGGGAAATTGTGAAATTATAAATGAACTAGTTGCTGCCTCCACACAAAAAGGCCAGATGAGGAAAAAAAGGTTGAGTGAACTGGGCATCACACAAGCTGATGACAACTTAATGTCACAGGAGATGTTTGTTGCAATTGTGGGGAACGAGTTCAAGTGGAATGGGAAAGGAAGTTTCGGCACATTTCTTTTTTGACCACAATGATGTAAACAGATAGCAAAATAACTGGGTTTTGCACATACTACCCTGAAAATCACTGCTGCTATTGTAGCTTGCTTCATGCCTGTATTTTATATTTGATATATCCTTTTGGGCTTGAATGAAATGTAGATTTATTTCTTTCTGCAGGTGTTGCACATAAAAACACTCTCTCTTTATAAGAAAAATCGTAAAAACCATATAAAACAGACAATATTTGGAGATTTATTGCCTAGAAAGTCCTGCTTTCTTAAAATACGTAGTTCTTCCGTATTAAGCCTTCCTAGTGTGAATTCACTTTAATCCAGCACTTCAGAGAGGAAAGAGAAAACAGGGAATACAAGATGAGTACACAGAAATGCAGGAGGTGCCACATGTGCAGTGCGCTTCTTAGGGTTGTCTTTTTATCCCAACTACAGTGAGTTTGATTTCAACATCATATTTGCATAATACTTGTCTTAAAATAAAAGCTTTTATGATTGGGACATTATCTCCCTAATCAGACTTATTATTGAGAATCCAAGTGGAATGCGTTTTTTTATGTTGAACTCTGCAATCATCAAAGCAGCAATAGATAGCATGGCATGTTTGAAACAGAAACAAAATGTGTTCAGAGCCAATGTGTGCTTCCAGTCTCTTCACTATCACTGAATGTGAATGACTGGAAAGAACTTTCTTCCCCCACCGTAACAGTATTCTAATAGTATTTTGTACACAGTCAAAAGGATAACCTATACAAATTATACTAACTATATATTACCGGTATCATTTTAAAACACAGCTTTTAAAAATATTTATATTTAAAAAAGCATACATGTGATATTAATATGTCTATTGATTAAAACTATAGCGATTAAATAATAAAATCGATTCTTGTATTTTTTTCTAAACCTATTATGGGCTATATAGTACTGGTATAACATTATGTATGCGATCTTTTGAAAAGCACATAATATTTTGGTATACGTTTTCCCCTTATTGTGGTTAAGTTTGTCTCTTAAATTTGAATAAACCATAACTCTTATTTTCAGATGCTCTTAAATGTGGAAGGATTTATGTTAGATTTATTATTTGACTATTGAAAGACATTTATCTTTCATTTAAAAAAATCCTGTTCTAAAGAGGCTTAGAAAGTAATGCTGATTAATTCTGCATTAGCTTCAACCAAATACTGCTTTAAAAACCATTTATTTAACTTAAAAACATTAAATTGGTTTTATAGTTGAATTTCTACTCTATCTTAGAATTTTGAATTTTTATTTTCTCTTGTAACTTGCTAGTGTGAAAAAATGATAGTAAAGTTAATACCTTCATAGTTGTTTTTATAAAATGAGAGCTTTTCAGATTTCACTTTATTCCTGTTTTAGTTTAAATCTAAGCTTTTAAAATTTATTTATTTCTTCCATGAATCAGAGAGACAGAAAAAGACACACATACACACACACATACACACACACAGACAGACAGCAAAAGGGTCTTACACTATGATCTGCCCAGCTTCAGTCAGCCTCAGATTATAGACATGTGTGTCCCCAGGGGACCAATGGTGGTCCCCATACATGAACTTGGAACTTTCTGATGTGGCTCAGCTTCAGGGTTGCATTTTACTGCTTCACTACTATTTGGCTTCTAAATGTAAACATATTAATTTTTTTCTATTATTTTCCTTTTAATTGACACATAGTAATTATACATACTATCCTAGTTTGATCATTGTACATTTTACACACACACACACATGTCCAAACACACAACACTGTACCTCATAAATATGAACAATTACTGTGTGTCATTTAAAGTGAAAGAAAGTCTTAAAAACTTCATCAGAAACTGTAAGAACTAATAAATGAGTTCAGTAAAGTTGCAGGATATAAAAATCAATGCAAAAATCAGTAATGTTTCTGTATACCAGTAGAGAATTATTAGAAAAAGAAATTGAGAAAGTGATCCCATTTATGATGACTACAAAATACTAAAATATCTAATAATAAATCAACCAAGGAGGTGAACAAGCTCTACAATGAAAACTATAAAACACTGATTAAAAAAAAAGAAAATGAAATAAGTGGAAATATAGCCCATGTTCATAGATTAGAAGAATTAATAATGGTAAAATGCCAATACTACCAGCTTTCTAGGGAGCAATCTAGAGAGTCAATGCAATCTTTATCAAAATGCCAAACACATTTTCATAAAAGTAGAAAAAAATGACAGTAAAATTCATGTGCAGTCACAAAGACCCTAAATATCCAAAGCAATCTTGAGAAAAAAAGAGTAAAGCTGGAGGCATCACACTATTGCACTTCAAAATAGACTACAAAGCCCAGTTTGGTATTACTGGGACCTACGAGAGTCACATTTGTAGGTCTTTGAGGAACTTCCATATTGTTCTCCACAGTGGCTGTACTAGTTTACATTCCCATCAGCAGTGTAGGAGAATGCTTTCACCAGAGCCTCACCAGCACTCGTTCTTTATTATTTTTATTTTAGTCATTCTTATGGGTTAAATGGTAGCTTATTGTGGTTTTCATTTGGATTTCCCTTATGGTAAGAGATGTTTGGGACCAGCAGTTGGCGTAATGACTATGTCACTGGACTCCCATGTAGTCGACCGTGGTTCAAGTCTCAGACCCGGTGGCTTAAACTCAAGCTGGGCATGGGTGTGTTTGTGTCCAAGATCCCGAGGAGAATGGAGGAGAAGGGATTGCAGTGTGGCCATCCCCCCTGGGGGGTGATTTCTCGCTGTCTGTCTCTGTCTCTTTTTCTGGTGAGCGCATGTGCCCTATAGCAAAAACCTCTCAAAAAAAAAAAGAAAAGATGTTGAGCATTTTTTCATATACCTTTTGGCTATTTGTATTTGTTCAGCTCGTTTGTCCACATTTTTTTAAAAATTTTTTATTTTTTTGGAGAGATTTTTGCTCGCCAGACGGACAGAGAGAGACATAGAGACAGAAAACGAGAAATCACCCCCCGGGGGGATGGTCACGCCACAATCCCTTCTCCATTCTCTTCTTGGGATCTTGGGCACGCACGCACACACGCATGGCGTGAGTTTAAGCCACCGGGTCCAGGACTCGAACTGTGGTCGACTACGTGGGAGTCCAGCAACATAGCCATTATGCTAACTGCTGGTTCCCTCATTTGTCCACTTTTAAGTATTTTTTTAATATGCAATAAGGTTTATTTTTTATATCTACATATTTACTAAAATGTTTTTTTCTCTTTATTTACTGTAATTTATGATTTATATGTAACCTTTACACATCTTCATAGGGTAGAGGATGTCCTTTAAAGGCATGTGTACAGTGTATAATAAATCAAGGATATAAACATATTCATCACCTTGAACATTTTACATTATATTATGTTGTGAACATTTGAAATTCCCTCCAGTGGTTATTCTGCAAGTATGTACTGAATTGTCTATGACACTCTACTGTGAGATACAGTTCTAAAGAAAAACATATTGGCTAAAAATCAGGCAACAAAATATCTCATAAATTTATAATCTTAACATAGCTAATGAAAGAAGTATTTGTAATTTTCATGTAGAGGACTGTGGAAAATAAAAGTTTATAATCTGAAAAAAGTCTGTGGGTAATCTGTCTAGTTACACATAGGTATAATTTTCCATAACAATAGCTTATTAAAAAGAGATAGAAAAAGAACAATTTTACTCACTGTAAGTTCTTGTAAGACCATAGTACTGTATGGTATATAAAGAAAGAAGTCCTCAGAAAAGCATCAACAAAGCAAAATTGGAAAGATGTTTAAAAGTGAAGACATGGCAAAGCCATTGATTTGGCAATTTATTGGCTTTACAAAGTTCCTAATTTTAGCCTTCTTAAAATTCATTCCCAAGAAAGACTCAACTTCTTGTAACATTTTGGACTTTTCCTCATGTATTTAGTTTTATACAAAGAGTAATGGTTTTAATAAATATATAAATTGAAACCTGTGGAGACTGTCTATCAAATCATTGATGGGTTTGTATTTAAACATGCTTGTGTGTAAGATAGTTGAGTCTGCATTTTTAGCCTTTTAGTTGGGAAATTTAATCCTGACATTCAGTGTTGTTATCAGTATGTGTGGGCTTATCCTCTCTCTAGTTGTTTTGTGCTCTGTGCTATTTATCTCTCTTTAGTTTTCCTGGTGTAGTAGTCCCTTAAGTATTTCCTAGAGAGCCAGTTTTGTTTTGGTGAATTATTTCAGCATTTGTTTATCTGAGAATGATTTTATTTCTCCTTCCCATTTGAAGGATAATCTTTCTGGGTATAGTACTCTTGACTGAAATTGCTTTTCTTTTAGAGTTTTGAATATGTCTTCTCATTCTTTCCTTGCCTGAATCATTTCAGTTGAGAGATCCAATGTTAGTCTAATGGGATAACCTTTATAAGTAACTTGGCATTTCTCTCTTGCCATTTGTAGAATATTGTCTTATTTTTTTTTAAAGAGAGATTTTTTGCTACAGAGTGTGTGTGCTTACCGAAGAAACAGAGAAACGGAAAGCAAGAAATTACCCCCCAGGGCGGTGGCCACGCCACAATTTCTTCTTCATTCTCCTCTCAAGATCTTGGGCATGCATATACACATGCCTAACAGGTTTAAGCTGACGGGTCCAGGACTTAAACTGCGGTCGACTACATGGGAGTCCAGCAACTTACCCATTATTTCATCTGGTGGTCCCCTAGAATATAGTCTTTGTCTTTGATTTTTACCAATTTGGCTATAATATGACTTGGAGAGGATCTTTTATATTTTCGGTGTCCTTTGTATCTCGAGATTTGGATGTCTGCATGACTCTCTAAATTTAGGAAGTTTTCAGCTAACATATTATGAAAGATATTTTCTATTGTTTCACCTGTCTCTTCACCTTCTGGAATACCTATTATCTGGATATTTGCTGTTTAGTGGTATCTAGGATTTCCTGTATACTGTCCTCATTTTTAATGGGTATTCTATTCGGTTGCTTGGAATCAAGGTCAGGAATTCTTCCTTCTGTGTTCTGATCTGCTCTTGATACTTTCTTTTTTTTTTTTTTTTTTTTTGAAGGGGTTTTTTTTTTTTTTTAGAGGTTTTTTCCTATAGGTGCGCTCGCCAGACAGACAGAGACAGAGAGACAGAAAGTGAGAAATCACCCCCCAGAGGGGATGCCCATGCTGCAATCCCTTCTCCATTCTCTCAGGATTTTGTGCACACATGCACACGCGCCTGGCGTGGGTTTTAAACCACTGGGTCCGGGATGCGAACTGCAGTCGACTACGTGGGAGTCCAGCAACATAGCCATTACGCTAACTGTTGGTTCCCTCTTGATACTTTCAAGGAGAGGTCTTTATTTCCTGCATTGTATTCTTTATCTCCAGAAACTGTTTGATTTTTTTTTCTTTTTTTCAGTGTGTCTGTCTCCTTATGGAGTTCCTACTTCATGTCATGGAAGGATTTTTCTCATCTCCTGGAATTATTGTCTGTTTCCTCTTGCATCTTGTTGAGTTTTGTTACAGTAAATTTTCTGAATTCTTTTTCTGACATCTCTGTGATCTCTTGTATCTTCCTCAGCCCTTGGCCATCCATCCCTCCTCATAAACAAGTTTGTCCCCAGCATACTCAGGGAGGTCTCTGGCCTTCTTCTGGGAACCTTTCTCTGTAGGAGTGCCTCAAAGACTGTCATATTTTAACTCTCTGCCACCATCCAGCCCCCTTCTCTAGCCTTTGTTTGATAATGTCATCAGTTTTGAATGATGACTTTTGTTGGGTAGAGAATTCCAAATTAAGTTTATTTCAGGCCTTTAGATATGTTGCCCTACTATCATTTGGCTCGCATATTTTCTAACAAG